TTAGGGTTTAGGGTTAGGAGGTGTTTTCAGAAGCTATGCAGCGGAGGGTTTGGGGTTTCCAACGGCAAACGGAGTCCGTTCATTTCAAGTCTTTTCGAGTCTTTCCAGTAATGGTCCATGTTTTTTTCTTAAGGTTCAGAGTTTGGGGGTGTGCTTGCTGGGGATTATGTTCGGATGGGCCCCTTGGCCGGAGGACTTTGGCCTGCCCCGGGCCTTAGAAGAGCAACAAATACTGGCAGACTTTCACAAGTTGAGTTTCCTACGGGTGCCTCGCAGTTGGGATAATACATCTTTTTGGATATGGTAGTTTCCCAAAATAAGGGGACCCCAATATACACCCCAAAATACTATATTCCTTTCTATAGGGACCCCCAAAATGGTACCCCTAATTTTGGGAAACCCACATATGTATTTTGGGAGACCATTTCTGGAAATGGCAAGATCAGCTGAGGAAGCTAAGTTTGGCTTCTCGCCCCGCCGCGATGGCTAGTGAAGGTGAATGGACCTTTGCTAAAAAGGCTGTGAGCAAAGGGAGAATTCAGTGTTGCAGGTCATTTCCACTGAGGCTTCCACTATATCGGATAGCAAGCCCTGTGTGAGAGACATAGCCAAGAAGAATTGCCTATGTTGATTGCTGGGGAAGGCCGTATTCCACGGTGGCCATGTTCAGGTGCTGCTTAGTCCCTGAAACCTTCTGCGGAGATCCTGTCCATGCTGTATGGCCCTTTCGGATCGTACCTGGAAGCACAAAGTTGCTTACAGCCTCTAACTGCAATCAGACAGCCCGTCTACCCCGCATGCATCGGAGACACAGCGTTCTCTCACACGCCCGAACCTTCGTTACATGAGACTCATATTGGGTTCAGCACAGTCATCAGGATCCTGCTCAGCCAATGGCTCTTTGGGATTGTATTGGGATAATATAGGGGTCATATTTGGGTCAATCATATATAGGGTATAATGGAAAAGAAAATGGAAACTACTATTTAGAGTTTAGGGTTATATTGGGGTTATATTGGGTTTTGTATAGGGGATAACGGAAAAGAACATGGAAACTACGATAATCCCAAGACAATCTTCTTGCTCCCATGGCCGATGCCCACGCTGTTCACCTTCGGCTGTGGCCCCCACGGCGAACTGGGCAATGTGCCTTGCATGAAAGCTGACTAGCCGCAGAATCTTCCCACTGGGTTATTATAGAATATTATCAGTAAATTGTAGTATTTCACGGTATTTTATGGTATTTTAGAGTATATTATAGTATCTTATTGTATGTTATAGTAGATTATGGTATATTATGGATTAATGGTATATTATATCGAGTTGGGAGGTCCGCCCGGATGGCTGCAAGCACCCAGAGGCGGGGTGGCTTGAACTTGAGGTGCCGTGCACGGAGATCTGCCTGGGTCCGTGTGAATTCCCTGGTGCTTAGGAGGGAATGGGGGAATGGATTTTCAGGATTCTTACTAGGGATTATTCAGGGATAATGGAAACGAAGCTAGGGTTTAGGGTTTAGGGTATACAAGGATTATAGGGATTCTTATTTGGGATTACATAGGGACTACTATATGGGATCCATTCTCCCATTCCCTCCTAAGCACCAGGGTGTGAAGGTTACTGCGGTGGCCTTCCCGGGACCCGAGCCCGAGGCATGAGTTTACCAGCATTTCGAAAGTTTCTGAAACGTCTACTGGGCTGAAGGCCATGGCCCTTGGAACAGACCACTCGTGCGGATCTTAGATACTCAGAGGAGAACGGCCCGCTTAGTCAGATCTCTATTTGCTACGGCGTTTGGAGTCCGGAGGCTGGCGGTAGCCGGCGGTCAGGTCTTCCGTTGGGGACTCCTGGGCACGGATCCCAGGGTTCGCCAAACCCCTCAATGCGACAGAACCCGACTCCACCCGATCCCCTTCTTACTC